AGGTAAAAAGTCCTACTTTCGCTTGTTGCTGTGAACCTTACGAAATAATCAAAGAGTACTGTAGATTGTATTGAATGGGGGTTGGAATCCTTACCAGTTCGTCAAGGATGTGAAGAATCGCTGAGGTCCTTGCAAGAAGAGTGTGAATGAGCTCCATATATAGGACACCACATACACAAGCACCGCTACTTCGAATCCTGCCAGAAGGAATTGTAATTAATTTCAGATGTATAGTTCTAGTGGTTAATTAGTTATCACCATGAAATCGACAGATAAATGTTTGTCATGATATGTTAAATTCTGGCATTTCATTGGCTGATCGATTCCACTTTCGTTTTATTTACAACATCCAATGAAATTCGTTTGATTAAATGGCTATTAAGGGGGTATAGTGATGCAGTGAGCTTGTTCTTTTTATGAAGTAACAAATTGTACAAGTTGAAAGGAGATTGTTTGAAGAACACTTGTTTTCGAGACGTGAGATTCTTGGAAGAATTAAGATGTGTTTGTCGTCTGCTGGACTGACGCCATGCACTCTTGTATCTCTTGTATGGGTTACCAGAGTTTGGAAGGACGTATCCCTTCCGCATTTTTTGAATATGTAGTCGATGTGTGTCTTGGAAGCTTTTGTAACCACCTACAAGACTGCACAGCGCCACAGCCTAAAATATTTCTTGACAGTCAGCGAAACTAATGTTCTCATCTGATAGTAAGGTATTAAGTGAAATTTGGTACCTGGTTTGGTCGGCCCCCTTATCTGGTTCGTCTTATCCTGGTTCGACACCATGAACACAAGAGTCAGGAAGATTATGTAGGTAGCGAAGCTGTTCAACATTTTGTTGATGGGCAAATTCAGGAAGGCTCCAGCCTCGGTTTTGGGTTTTGCTAAACATATGAATACTGTGCGGGGGAGCAGAATCATCCGCTTGAAGATGGTCAGGATCTTGCGGAAGTCGGACCGACGGCGCCATGAGTACCAATCCCCACACCAAGCAGTTTCCACCACCTGCGGACACGTACCATAAACCATTAAATGAATTTCAGCTTGTTTTACAGGGATGTGTTTGCTTATGGTATTGCCAAGTGCGATTGTATTCGCTGTTAACTTCTGAGTCTTTCACCTTTATCACAACTTCCACACTTTCCGATAATGTTCCACCGAAGCGTTGGTAACCGCCAACAGGTCTACACGTTTCACAACCCCTAAGACCATAATCTTTGTCTTTGCCGTTTAGAACCTCAGATCAGTTCTTCTTAATAATAGCCCAGCTTTACTTCCCATAAAAAATGTTACTGCTTTTTAGTTAAATGGTCTGCGGTTACCACCGTCGCCGAGTGTCGCGACATTTATCGTCTCGACGTCTGCCCTAAATTCCGTATCGTGCGAGTATGAGCCTCCGGACGCCATTAGACGTGACTTTGGCAAACCGATGCCAAGCGTCGTTACTCCAAACGTCTAGCTACCGAACGTCGCGGCGCCAACACTGTACTCTGTTTAGAGTTTCTTGTAAGCCTAATTATTTTCGGTGTGTTGTGTTGATTACTGTATCAATTCGCTCGTGTTGAGTTGTTGTGGGGTATGAACATTGTGCAATTACCTCTTGAACTTTCCGGTGCGCCACAAATTCCTTTTGGTTGAGGTCCATTGCAAGAGACAGACGTGGAAACTTCACGCGCCAATTTACATCGCAACCTGCCCGTTGCTTCAGTACATACTCTACTTCCTCTGGGTTGTTGCAGCAATCTGTGAGACGGAAGACATTAATTTCATTGTGCGTTAGTCTTTGAAGAGTATGTAGTTGCGGTGACGAGTGTCCACCAAATTTTCTGGTGTGTGCACATCTTTTGTGATACCCGTATTCTCTTAAATCTTGCTGCTATTGAGAAAGTGCCCACCGCAGTGACAGCAAAGTAGACGGGATCAAATTGTGCGCTTCGCCTACGTCACCATCTTACTGGTACAGGGAAAGTATACCGGTGCTGGGAAAAAAGATGTCTGCTATCCCACACACTCTTCTGATCCCCTTTCCAGTTTCCTTTACATCTGATGGACATGGAACTCGCAGTTTGGTCCCGACTACTGCTTCTATCCCCCTACGGTGAGCCTGTTATCTAATTGGTCTGCTGTTCTTGCACACACTTTCACAGCAGAGAAGGTACATGTGCCTGTTTTTCAACAAACTGGTGTATGGACCAACCTATGAGATCTGCGGCGAAGCTTCGCACTTGTTTGGCAAGGTCCAGGTAGAACACACGTAACTCCAGGTCAGTGGATGCATAGTCCATCAGTTCCTTGTTCAGTTTGAACGCCGTAAGGATTTGGTCCGTGGATTTGTGGCAGATGTAGGCCGGGCTGATAATGGCTTTGTACGTGTCCAGACACCTTTTGGACGCCATTAGCCTGTCCTCGTTCTTCTTCAGATTTTCCCTAAAGGAATAAGCAATTCGAGGCTGTAACCCTAGCAACAGTTTTACTCAAGAAGGTGGTTGTTTTCTGGGATGTTGCGGCGTGTAGTCTGGTAGAAATTGACTGACGGTTCGAAGGTGCTTACTGCTTCTTTCGTCAGGATTATGAGTATTTAGAGCACAACATCCCAGAATACAGTCGTCATCATACTCGTCGCCATGGTAACCTGAAATCCCACATTAGTTATCCTGATAACAAGAGGAACGAACGGGAATAGTTCCCATTTTATGGAGACGATTGCAAGTGAATCTCTAAGATGCGGGAAAAGTATGAGATTGTTTCAGTTGGTACTAGGAAAACAAACGCATGTACTGTGCAAACCAAAACATTACCGACACAGGAACTGCGGCAGTGAGACACAAATTACTGAAGCTGAGTGATCTCCTTGACTTTTCATTCTAATGGACATGGAACTCACAGTTTGGTCCCGACTACTGCTTCTATCCCCTTACGGTGAGCCTGTTATCTAAGGTACATGTGCCTGTTTTTCAACAAACGGGTGTATGGACCAACCTATGAGATCAGTGGCGAAGACTCGCACTTTTTTGGCGAGGTCTAGGTAAGTCGGGCGCAACTCCAGGTCAGTGGATGCATAGTCCATCAGTTCCTTGTTCAGTTCGAACGCCGTAAGGATTTGGTCCGTGGAGTTCTGGCAGATGTAGGTCGGGTTGGTGATGGCGCGGTACACGTCCAGCAGCCGTTCGCCTCTTTTCGTGTCCTTCAGAGCTTCTCTGAAAGAATAAGCAATTCGACGGCGTGACACTTGAAACGTTCCTACTTACGAAGGTAGGGCTGTCTTCTGGGATGTTGCGCACTGTGGTCTGGTATAAATTTACCAACGTTCCAGAGGTCTTTCCTGCATCCATCGTCAGGGCGATGAGGCAACAAGGACCTCTGAAACGTCGGTAAACATCGACCAGATTACACGGAGCTACAACCCAGACGACTGACGTCTTCGGACTCATGACTTCACTTGAATCGTTTTCAGTCTGTGTCAGGGTTATGGAACATTAGCCGCAGTTTTGGCGTCAGGGTCAATAGTTCTAAGCTCTCACTTACGTTTCTTCTATTATAATACACTTTACTTTTACTGCCCTCCAGTGCAAGGTCAGCCAGATGAAAATAAACATAGTTGGACGCACTAGTCATAAATTTAATTTTTAAACCATTATTTTGACTTAAAAACGTCTATAAGGAAGGGTCATTCGGCAAAAAAGTGTAACGAAAAAGGGAAACGAAAAACTGTAACAATGGTTACCTAGGAAACGTTACATTACATTTCATTACATTACATTCATCTACCACAGACCCATCTTTATTTTATATTTATTTATTTAGTGTTCTGTCTGACGACAGGTCCATATGAACAGGATCCTTCCATCCTTTTCTCGGACTGGGACCTGTTCATATACGTTCTTGGCAGATGATCCAGAAGGGGTTTGCCATTGCCTTCTTCTGTGTGTAAATGGAGTAATTGTTGGGATGCCACAGAGAAACCGGGGAAGCCCCTCTGAAGAACACATTTGTATCACCATGTCTCTCAGTTTGACGAAACTTCAGATCTGAAATTGTTATTAACATTTTATTTCAAATTGATCCTTTCGGGTCATCAAATAATCAGTACTCTGATAAAACGTATTAATGCCTTTTTGACGTAAATACGTCTATAAGGAAGGGTCATTCGGCAAAAAAGTGTAACGAAAAAGTGTAACCTGGTTACCTAGGGAACGTCGTCTGTTTACTCGGCATTGTTGTTACCTATAAAACATTTCATTACATTACCTTACCTTACATTACATTACTTTACATTACCATCATCTACCACAGACCCATCTTAAGCATAACTAATCCAAGTTGATTAAGCAATGTCTTAATCAAACTTTACTCAATTGTAAAGCATGTATAAAGGAAATATTTAGAATAAAGCCAATATATAAACTTCCTTTCCGTATAGACGTATTTACGTCAAATTCTCCGGAACCGTGGTTCCACTGTAACTTTTTACTCTATAATATGAAGTACATGAATTTGTGACCCTCAAAATCCTCCGCTAATCATGCAACAGTCCGAAGATCATAAACGTTTGGTAACCCCTACTTAGAAGACTTAATTAGACCCAGCTACCGAGAAAATTTTAAATCTTATCGAGTCATTTGATAGACCCTTCGGTTACTGAACAATGCCGTTTCATCTGCGTAGGTTATATAACAATGAATTATAAGTATCGCGGCTGGGAGATAAGAATTTTAATTTGGACGGTCGTGGACCATCTTAAGGTACTTTTTTTGGCATTTGTCTGGAAACAGAGATAAAAATTGTAAAAAGCAACTTATGACCTGTTAAACCGGTTAAATTCCAACCTGCCAGCTGACGAATGGAGCGTTACCATCTCGCCAGCTTGTTCGGTTCTTTGTTGTTGAAAG